TCAGGTATTGTTATAATTATGTTTTTGGGGTGTTTAGAGGGGACTCGGCAAGTTGGAGCCTAGACTCGCTGAGTAGGATCGCAGACCTGGTCGCGGGTTCGCGACTGGACTCGACGAGTCCAGATATGGACTCGGCGAGTCTGCGCTGTTTAGCGAAAACCCTAGCCATTCAGATTTGGGACGTATTTAAGGGACTTATTGGCCGTCATTGTTCACTTTAGCCTTCTGAGAGAAACCCTAATTTGATTGTATGCATCTGGAGCAAGGTTGAAGACCATTGTTGATTTTGGAAGAGTTTTTGTGCAAGGAAGAGAAGGCTTGGTGAAGGGAACAACAAGAGAAGTCACGTTCTGAGGATCGGGACAAGAGAGCACATTATTCAGGTAATAATTCGAATTACATTCTTTATGTTGATGTGTATAAGGATTTAGGGTTTATGGAACCCTTTTGTGGATAGATTGAATGTTACCCTTGTTCCCCAAGCGATTGTAACCCTGTATTGGGACCTTTAGAGGTCCAGAATGTCCATGCCTGAGCATTTCGGGAATCAATAGAGGTTTTGGATTGGAATCCTTATGCCTTAGGTCAAAATGTAAATTATAAGTCTTGGGGTGTAGCATGAGCACCTAAATGAAGACCTTTCGTGATGGACCAGCCTAGGAGGACCAGACCTATGAATGGTCGGAACAATTCTGACCTTAGGAAGCAGTTTGATCGACTGCATGGCATGGACTCGCCGAGTCCAATGAACAGACTCGGCGAGTAGCTTGGAGAATAACTGGGACTCGTCGAGCTGTTCTTCAGACTCGACGAGTGGAGTCGGGGTGGCCCCGCGATTCTTCCAAGAGTAACTCGTCGGGTCATGGAGGATACTCGACGAGTAGAAGGGAATCTTAGAGGATTGGTGAGGACGTCTAGACTCGCCGAGTCGCCATAGTACTCGCCGAGTCCAGTCAAGTTGACCGTTGACCGTTGACCAGAGTTGACCTATGTCGGACTTCTTAGGGATAGTCAAACTTGGAGATAAAAGTGTTAATAAGAGATATATGATGTTCAGGGAGATTGTAGCTCGGCGGATCGAGTACGAGTGATTTCAGGAGTTGCTAACTTTCAGTATCCACGAGGTGAGTCTTCTCACTATACTGTACCCGGAAGGGTTTGACTGTGTGACCGGAAGGTCGGATATGATATGTGATATATGTGCTATATTTGGTAAGCTAATTTTTATGCGTGCTGTGTATGTTTATATGGGCCGGAAGGCAATGTGTTATGGGCCGGAAGGCAATATGTTATGGGCCGGAAGGCGATTATGTTATGGGCCGGAAGGCGTTGTGTTGTGGACCGGAAGGTCAGGGCCTGGAAAGGAGTATATGTGTAAGTTGTATATTGGGGAACTCACTAAGCAATTATGCTTACAGTTGTTATGTATGTGTTTCAGGTACTAGCGAGGACCGTGGGAAGGCGCCGACGTGATGCGTCCACACTGATTGATGTTTTGAGATCTTGGGAATTCTATGATTTGTATTTCGACATAAAACTTGGAATAATTATGTTTAGTTTGAATAAAAACACTTTATTTGAAATGAAAATTTTGTTTGAAAATTTGCGTTGTTACAAAATTACAATCTTGGAGTATGACTCTAAGACTTGTATTGGAACGAAGTATGACTCATCTTCTTGATTTAACCATTTCAACAATTCAAGATCCCTTCTTCTTAGTCATAAGAATGCACTAAGACTTCCTTAGAGAACTAATTTTGATATGGTTTTTAATCATTAAGATGATCACAAACTAATACTAAAGTACTCTCCCATCTTTTCAGATTTGAGAAACTTTTATCCTTCTGCCTAATTTGATTCTTCTTATTCGCTCTGCCTTACATTGGAACCTTTTCCAATGTCTCAGAGTTACACTTAAGCTTGTAAGTATAATCATATTTACTGAGCTTTAGTAAATTATGACGAATAATCTTATTGATCTTTTGTGGTGGACTTGACCAGTGCACAAGAATGTGTACTCGATCCCTTAGTCCTTTACTTGACTCACACATCCATGTGAACGTGTAATTAGTCTTAATTTTTCCAATACTTGAAAGTTCTCATTCATCATGCTATACAACTTGCATGATTCCAAGTCCCGGTCCAATTGAGACTTTGGATGATGAGAATCTTTCCTTATTTGGTAAATTTAGACATTACCACAAATGAAGGAATCAATTTCATATTTCCACTTTTTGCTATTAATGGAATCGTATAAGCAACAATTTTTCCTCAAATGCCATTGTAAGGATACTTTAAAATAAATAAAATCAAAAAAAATTTCTTTTATTTTAAAACTATGCGGAAAAACTTATCCTTACAATCCATATGAAAACTTGTTGTTATCTATTCCTAAGCAATACCTCATAACTCCTAAGAAGTAGCTCAAGAATCCGATCTTCAAACTACGCGATAGAAATCCATCTATGTGATCAGATTCAGCATATTCTTTCTTTAAGTTCCTTCACTTTTCTTTGATTCTTAAAACATCACCATGTAACCCAGTCACATCATGTATCAAGAATCTCATAATAGAAACTTAGCAGAGTTAGATAGTGGACTTTACCTGAGGTAGAGTCAAACTTATTGACTTTAACATCCTTAGGTAAATTTGGCAGCTTCGCAACTAATGACCCTTTCTTTGGCAATATAAACATATGGACCCTTTGATAATGGTACACGGGACTATCACAGACTTAGCTTTTCTCTTTACCATTTGGTCAACCGAGTTGACTATGGCCGATCCCTTTCCATTGGGAAGAGAATGCTTTTCTGGATTTTCTGTGTCACTATTGTCAATGTCCATCAAGTTTTAGGAAGTTGATCTTAACAAATAGATAAGATCATTAAGGGTCTTGTCATAGTCTGTTTCATAGGTGTTCCAAAAGAACTCACTATGTGACTTAGAAAGTGATTGAACCACCAACTTTCTCTAAACTTTGACACCCAACTCTCCCGGCTTGTCAATATGTGACTACATCTCCAAGATGTGACCACACCTAGACTTTTACTTGCCAATGGGGCTCGAGTGACCTTAAACTTTTCAAGAACTTGTGGGTTAGGGAGAATAATTGGAGGAAGTGAATGAAGTATGATTTCACAGGGACATCATCTTCATTAGGAAAGCTTGTTTCAAGAGATTTGGGAAGATCATAAATGTCTAAACTAGACATCTTTTGGGAGATATTCAAGATAGTTGATTTAAAGTCCTTAATATGACACCCAATATGAAATATTAAGGCTACGACCCAACAAACTATTTTATAACTTAGAAGAGGATGTCGTAATCCAAGCTATAAAATATTTGAAGGTAGGTGAATGACGATTCACCAATTTCCACCAAGATAAACGAAATGTATTATTAGGTTTTAATTGGATTTGAAACTCCTAGATCTTTTGAGATTCATTGAACTGTTCAATGGCATGTTTCAATCTCGAGTGTGCCCTTCAGGTTTTGTGACTGGGATGCCGAGGATCACAAAACAAGGTGTGAAGTAACCATGCAAATTACTTGGTACCCTTAATTACCCCTCAATCGATGTGCCGGTTAACCACACACGCTCCATCGATACTATGATAAATATTAAGTACCCTTTACCTACCTTGTTAAGTCCAAGTTAGTGTGCCGGTTAACCACACACGCTCCACTAACGACTTAACAAAGTGTAAAGTGTAATTTCATGGATTAGCACCTTATTCACATTTTCCTAAGTAACTAAGATTGGGAATTATTAAGAGTTTAGTTACTTAGTATTTATCATTAATACTTTTAATGAAGGGAGAATTATAGTCCTGTCAAACCCGTTCGGCTAACGACCCTCCACCAGTCAAGCAAGCGGTGGGTGAGAGTGGACACCCATTAAGTTGCCATTTTATAGGCAACAACCTTATACCCACCTTATAGACCGGCTTCGTGAATGAGGCGTACTAGCGGTAAGACTGACTTTACTCTTATACATATATATTATTAACTTATAATATTATAAAGTATAAGGGTTGAATTTTAACTTTTAAAATTCTAAGGGCTAACTTGGAATTAAAGTATTCATAAGAGAAAACTTTACAAATTCCAAAACTTGAGGGCAAGTTTTGAAACTATTCAAAACTAATTAATTCCATAACTTATGTGTTTAAAGTAGTTTTAATCCAAAAACTCTTCAAGTTCCCTAACTTATGGAAGACTTTAAACTAATAAAAGAATTAACTTTTCTTTATTTTTTTTATAACTTATGGAATTAATTAAGGTTACACTTTTATTATTATTTTTTTTTATTTAATGAAGAGACTCTTGGTCCTCCATAACTTGAGGACAAATTATGGAGTCATAACTCCAATTAATTAGAACTAGACTCTTCATTTTGTAACCTTTGCCAACTTTTATGAGTTTTATGAAACTTAAATGTGACTTTTCATATAACTTGAGGACAAGTTACAAAAACACATTTTAGAATCAACTCTTAGGTTAATTTGGATTGAAAACAACTTTTTCACTCAAATTTTCTATTAATCTAAGCAACTCATAAGAACAAGATAATTCAAATCAAACTTTTTCATGTAATTAGTTAAAACTTTAAACTAATACAAAACATGAATCTATTGACAATTATCTTTGAAATTGGATTAGCATGAACATTACCACATCAAAAACAAGTTTATAAGTTCAAAAACATCT